TAAAATGTGGCTGTTGGAGGAAGCGTTTACAAATACAGAGTAGCTAATATAGGAAATTGAATGACCTGACAAGGGAACTGGACAATACTTGAGAATAATGAGACGCTGATGGTGTCGCTTTTATTGCTTTTGTGATGTCTTATACTGTTTAATGTTTTTTATCTATATTACGTTTTATGTATACTGATTTGTTGGAAACCGCCTTGAGTTGCCAATTGGCTGAGAAGGGCGGTATACAAATACAGTAAGTAAATAAACAAACAAACAAATAAAATGGGCTGAATTGAGCAGAACTGGGTAGGACTCGTGTCTCCCATCCCACCCCAGTGTCGCTGGACGGCAATCCCCAGTATCCCTGTCTTTCTGTGTGGGAAGGGTGGATGGGAGTTGGAGTGCAGAACATCTGGAGGGCATCAGGATTCCCACTCACCCTGGGGGTCCGTCTGTCCGTCTCCTCTCCAGCCGCCCCCTCCTCTCCTCCTGCCAGGCCGAGGGCCTCCCACCCTGAGCTTCTGCCTCCCTTTCTCTGATTTCTTGGTGTCAGTGGAGACGTTTGCATTTCCCTTTCTTTTTCTCTTTGCATTTGTTCTGCCTGAGGTTTCATACTTTTCTGACCTAGGTTTTGTTAGGATGTCTATGTCAAGGAACTTTGCCGCCTAATGTGCTCTCAGGGTCTCCAGGTGCCTTGCTTTAGAGACGTGGGGCAGGGATTACACTGCCGGGAAAGAGAGGGTCAGGAAAATGTTTTTTTTTTCCTGAGTTGGAGGACTACACAAGACACTGAAGTATTTTTCTCCCAAGACGGATCACTCGGGATAGTCTGCCCATACAGGTGGTCACTCAAGTTCGGAGTTGGGATGTGAGGAAGCGGATCTAGAGTTCAAATGCTTCACGCAGTAGCTTGACACTTGAGGCCTTCCAGCTGGGTTTTCTCACACTGGGGCCTTGTGTGATTCAGCCCGGGAGGCCGGGTCTGCCTGGAGACTGGTGACGCGGCCAGCGGAGGCCCATTCCCATTGGCGCATCCCGAGAAGGAAGGAAGGAAGGAAGGAAGGAAGGAGGGAAGGCCCTCCCTCTCGGAAGGGCGAAGGAAAGCCATCTTCGGGGGAGTTTCTGCCCGGAGACCGGTGACGGCGGAGAGGGAGGCGAATTCCTATTGGCGGGAGGGTGCTGAGCCTCTGGAGGAGAAGGAAGGAAGGAAGGAAGGGGGCGCTCTTGCTCCTGACTGGCCAGCGCCGCCAAGAAGCCCCGCCCCTCTCTGGGCGCCCCGCCCGCTGCCGCCATGTTTGGTGTTGGCGGAAGCGCAGCGAGAGGGGCCGGGCTCAGTGTCCTAGAGGGGCGGGGGAGGCTCGGGCGAGGAGGCCTTTCCTTCCCTGTGAGGAGGAGACCCCTTCGAGTGGGGGTGAGTGAGTGAGTGAGTGAGTGAGTGTGAGTGGCACAGGCCTGGGCTCGGCCTACTGCCTTCTTGGGGGGCGGCCTCCCCCCTCCCCCTCCTCCTGTGCCTCGGCCTCTGAGCCCGCCTCTCCCTCCCTCCCTCCCTCCCTCCCTCCCTTCCTTCCTTCCAGGCTGCTTCCCCGAGGAGGAGGAGGAGGAGGAGGAAACCCAGGCGAGCGAGCGAGAGCGGCCTACTCGGGCTGGGCCCTGTGCCGCTGGGGGCTCGCCTTCTCCACTCCAGACCACAGCGGGCCAGAGTTCTCTTTTTCTTCCTTTGTTGACGACCTTGACCAGCCGCCCTTCTCTCTCTGTGCCTGATGGGGTCAGGATGGATGGCCTTTGGGCTCCCCCCCCCCCAGACTGCCTGGAGTTTCGGAGGAGCTCCTTCCTTCTCTGGAGTTTTCAAGCAGAGGCTGGGTGGCCATCTGCGAGGAGGAGGGATCGGGTGGTGCCTTCCTGCTTGAAAAAGTTTCAAGGGCGTCTTCTGGTGCCTCCATAGGTGATCAGGGTCATCATGAGCTTGGCGACTCACTCTCCTACAAATCTCACCGACCTTCGAGCATTTCCGGTCCATACCTTCCATGCCCTCTGACAAACCTGATGGACCGACGGGTGCTAGGACTTCTCAACATTAGTAGGGGAGTACAGCCACGGGTGTGTGTTCTTGGGGTGGGGGGGGGATAATCATTCGTAGGGGGAGGGCCTGCTCCAGCAGAGGACGGTAGATTCCAACCAGCAGCTTCTGTGCGCATCTATTTTGATTGTACAGTGGAGCTCTTAGTCGCGTTTCTTGCTAGTATTTGTCGTGTACCTCCTACTTTCCTGGGCGCCATGGCTAGAGTTGGCTATTCCGGACACGAACAACGCACCATCGCGTCTTAGTCCAACTACATAACAGCGTGAAGTCCATGCAAAAAATTGTCAACTACTAGAATCTATGGTACGAGCATGTAGTCAAGACTCGCTTCAAGCAGCGATTATCACACGCGCACGAGAGGCAATGTGTGTTTGGAAAATGAGATGTTGGGGAGTCAGACGAAGCGAACAATTAGGCAGTCAACTGTATTCAGGAGGTGCCGGATCTCACAAAGAGATATACTAACAATATACAGAAGGTAGTATAGAAAGCGCCTATTGATAGTACAGTATCAGTATGGTTAGCATGATGCTCGACAAAAACTATATAGCAGAAAATATGACGAGTTTTTCATTTGATTTTATCCTTTTTTCCCTTGTTAACAATATTCTGCCATCCCGCCCTTCTTCCTCCCCCCGTATTCCCCCCCGCTTCCATATCCTCTAGCCCTAACCCCCTCCCCCCTTTTTCCGCCACCCTTCCTTGTCACTATAACATATTTACTATATACAATATATATTTAATTATATTGTGCAAGGGAATTATATTCAGTTGTTAAACTGATATACCAGGCATTTATTTATTTATTTATTTATTGACTTTGCTTCTATACCGCTGTATCTCAAGCCCAAAGGCGACTCACGGCGGTTCACAAACAGTAAAAACAGTAGAAACAGCAGTGGTTCCATACAACATATAACAATTGACTTAACACATTATCCATAAATTACCAATAAGCAATTACAATGCACAATTA